GACCCCCTTCCTCCCTGCTCCCTCCAGCCCCTCATCATCCTCCCCCCCCCGCCTTCCTTCCTCCAGCCCCTCACCATTCTCACCTGTTCAAAAGAGGAGAAAGAGTGGGGAGGGGGAGCAGGGTGAGGTTGGAGGTGACAGGAATGGAAGAAGAGAAGTCCAGACCCCCACCATGGTCTGATCCAGAACACTGAGGAGGAGAGAAGGAGAGGCGTCTGTGAGAGAAGGCATCTGCAGAAGCAGAGTCAAACAAAGGGATCCATTTCTCGCTGGGAGCTGGGAGCTGGAAGGAGTGGGAGAGGAAGAGATTGTGGATGGAACGGGCATTCCAGAGACAGCAAGAGCTGGGGAGAAGGAACGGGAGATGGGCATGAGGTTAGGAATGATGGAACAAGAGGGGTGGAGATGGTGGCAGGGTCAAGTGGGGGAGGTAGAGAGGGGATGGGGGATAGCCACTGTTAGGGCTAATGTCACCAGAGGGGATGAGGAGGACGCAGAGGAGGATGTGGGATCTGGATCTGTGCTGGTGGGAGGAGGGGAGAAATTGGGATGGAGATGGGGAGAGGAGCGGATAGAGCTAGTGGGAACTGTAGAGGGCTCAGAGTAACAAGGATGGGGAAAAGAGCCAGCGAGGGAAAGGGACAAGGAAGGAGGATCCCTTACCTTACCTTTCCAGACCAGCCCCAGCCCCCAAATCCTAGCTCTCTTCCAGACTCTGTCTCCTCCAGCTGCACCAGCATTCCACTTGTTTTCAGTCCATGTCCGTTTCTGGTTCACAGGCACTTGCACAAGGCTGCAGTGACTGTGTTGCAAACACAGCAAATCCAAGTAATAAACTGTCTTCATTCACACTGAAACAGACTATGCAAGTGTTCCTGATGGCCTTAGGTTCCGCATGTTTACAAACTCCTGCATTTGGTTCTGATCCCTGTTAATGCTCCAGGAGGCAGCGCTAGTACAGTATTTGACCTAGAGCCAAGCTTTTCATTTTTGTACGTTGTTATTCTGCTTAAAATTGTTCAATAATTTTGTTCAATTTAATTAAGCCCTGAATCAGGTGTTGGACAAATTTCAGAAGAAGAGGAGGAGGAGGAGGAGCTGCATCCAGAAGGCAATGGGGTAAAGTTGCAAATATGAAGGACTTTATGCACCTTTGGAATTAGAATCACACTGGAATTAGCGCATATTATGGTGCCCAGATACTATGTGGGTGGGTTCACTAGAAATGCAACTAATATTGAAATATTGGATTTCCCAAGAAATGTTGAAACAAAACCTTCAAAAAACAAAAAATTCAAACCACGGAAAGAAACATTTCCCCAAGAAATGTTAGAGATCAGAGTGCCTTTGTCCTGAAAAGGATTAGCTAGAATATTCAGATCAGATTTTGGAAAAATTTCTAACTATAAGGATAGTTTAGTACCTGAATACGTTACTGAGGGAGAATCCCCATTGGAGGATTTTAAGAACAGGTTAGACAAACAACTGTCAGGGATAGTCTAGGTCCTCCCACAGGGCAAAGGTTAGACTAGATGACCTCTCGAGGTCCCTTCCAGCCGTATGTTTCTTTGGGGATTTTTTTTGTACCCATCACTTTACTAATAAGGATGTACAAAAGATGTGTGGGAACACATTTACTTTGGGGCCTGAAAAACATTAAAATAGTTAACACACTAAAAATATCCTCTAAATTTTCAAAAATAGTGAATACAGAAACTTCCTCCATCTGAGAAATTGTGGTGATCTATTGGTATAATATATTTAATATTCAGAGTGGTTTCCTCTTAAAGAAAATTCGACCATTTATTGGGAAATATCGTATCTGCAAGCAAGTCAATTCATAATCTAAGCAAGACAAAACACAGAATAAGACTTCACAGATTTTGAGTTATGGACTTTGATGTTGAATTTTTATAATCATTTCAAGTTGCTTTTGGGTTAGGGATTTTGTTTTTGTGCTACATTTTAAAACAACCAAGCCATTTTTTAAAAATCTCTGTAGAGTCTGGGAGGAATGTAAGGGTTTACTACTACATCTCTAACGACTGCAGCACTAGCAGATGCTTCAAAGTTAAGAGCATTTCCTTACACTAGATGTAAAGTGCTGTGTAGTAGTAGTACAGTACATACTAGGGAACTTTGATTGGAGACAGTCAGTTGTTACAGTGTTGTTTTCTGCTGTATGCTAGGTGGTGCAACCAGAGAGCAGCCATACCAGAAAGGAAGAGGCAGATGGTGTTTCAGCAGAGGAGCCAGGAATGGAACTCAACCCAGCAGAGCAAAATGCACCTGAATCCCCAGAGCCTCCGATTGTAGAGGTGGATGTTTATGAATTCTCCCTAGGAAAGCGTGGTATCTACAGAACAATCAATCCAATGCTTTGACATCACAAATCATTAACGAAGCAATTCCAGTGTAGCAAAAAATTGAGAAACTATTGCCATCTTATCGGGGACATGAAAGGGGGGCCACGGGAAGCTTAATTTGGCTACATTCCAGTTTCCAGGAGAGTCTTGTAAAACTTAGCTCTTACTCATCTCTGACACAGCACTTTTCATCTGTAGATCTTGGAGCACTTTTAAAGGAAAGATAAACACCATTATCCCCAATTTATCAGTGGGGAAACTGGTTCACATGCTCTGATCCTGTCTGCTCGGTGGATGTTGGAGAGAAGTTTGTGTCTGTTGGGTGAAAGTTGAGTTTCTTACTGAATATAGGTTTTGCCTTTTCATTTTCAAAGTTCTCATCGTAAATAAAGATAAATCTCTGCATGGAGCTTTCTTATTTAGTAAGGGCCTCATCCTGTGAGGTGTTGAACAGCCTCTAATCTTATTAAAGTGATGACTTCAAGCATCTTGCTGCTTGGAAATTTGCAGGACTTGGCCCTAAGAGTTGTATTTTGGTATGGAAATCTGAGTGCTCATTACTGTAATACAGTAATTAAAGAATTTACATCCACAATCCACGTTCAAAATAGGAGCCATTGATTATTTGAAGTACAACAGGCTCATTGCATATATATAGCTTACAACAGGGGTCGGCAACCTTTCAGAAGTGCTGTGCCGAGTCTTCATTTATTCACTCTAATTTAAGGTTTTGCGTGCCAGTCATACATTTTAACGTTTTTAGAAGGTCTCTTTCTATAAGTCTATAATATATAACTAAACTATTGTTGTATGTAAAGTAAATAAGGTTTTTAAAATGTTAAGAAGCTTCATTTAAAATGCATAGCCCCCCAGACCGGTGGCCAGGACCCGGGCAGTGTGAGTGCCACTGAAAATCATCTGGAGTGCCTACCCCTGGCTTACAATGTTACAAACATACATAATAAATTGACTACAAGAAAATAAATGTAAATATTAACTTATTGGGGGAGATAGAATGTACAGATTATTCATATTTATCTTCTGGGCTAAATGATATTTCACACTAGACATTTTACTGGGCTGTCTCAGTCCACATAGGAATCCTCCTATTTGTTTTCTCTTATTTTCAAAACCACTCCAAGGACCTGATTTTCAGAAGTACTGAGCATCTTTGATGCCAGTGAAAGTCAATGCAAGCTGCAGGCACCAAGCAGTTATGAAAGCCAGGCCCTAACTGTTTAAGTAGGTTATCTGTTTGTAAGAGTAATTAGGAGCAAGTTCCATAGTCCTGAACACTCAAAGAAAATGCCCTACCAGCTGCCACCTCTTCATAACCAGAGGGATCCAGGTTGGGTTCCCTGCTGATCACAGCTGCTGTGGAAGTTTGGCCCAGGGAGAGAGGCGATCCCTCAGACAGACTGGTCCCAAGCTATTTAGGGCATTATAAGTCATAATCCACACCTTAAATTCCACCCGGAGATCAACAGGCAGCCAGTGTAAATCCTGGAGCACCAGTGTCACTTGCTTCCAGTAAGATGCCCCACTTGGTAAGCGAGCCACTGTGTTCTGCACCAGCTTCAGTCTAGGATGGCTCTAAGGTGGATCCTCAGCTATAGCACACTGTAATAGTCTCATTTTGCGATAACAAAGGCCTGGGCAACAATCTTAGAACCTAGTGACTTACAGCATTCGTTAAAAGGAACAGTCTGAAAAGAGACAGACAGAAAGAAAACAAAGCGATTCGGTCGGGTATAATGTGACTTTGAAAACTACCTTCTTCGGTAAAATCTAAAGAGAGATTTTTCACTTCTGAGTTACAAATATGGGAAATTAAAAGTTTCTCATGGAAATTTTGACAGGGCCTTAGCCACTGTAGTCCTAGCAGGAGCTGCTGTTATACTAGATGTGGTCAGATAAATTTATTTCCTGTGCACTGACACTGCAAAGCAGCTGTAAAGCACTGTAGTAATAGTCCTTAGTAAAGAACATGGACCATTATAATATTGTTTTGTTGTGTTCTACTTTCTGGTTTTGATCTGTGCTAGGGAATGCAGCCAGAGAACAGTGATGACAAGGAAGAGGGAGAGGCTGTGCCTACAGAGGACCCAGGAGAGAGACTCATCCCAAAAGAGCAAGAGGTCTCAGGGGCCATGGAGCAGGAGATCTTGGGGGCCACAGAGCAGGAGGTCGGGGGGGCCATGGAGAAGGAGGTTGCGGGGGCCACGGAGCAGGAGGTCTCGGGAGCCACAGAGAAGGAGGTTGCGGGGGCCACGGAGCAGGAGGTCTCAGAAGCCACAGAGCAGGAGGTCTCGGGGGCCATGGAGCAGGAGGTCGCAGGGGCCACAGAGAAGGAGGTTGCGGGGGCCACGGAGCAGGTGGTCTCTGAGGTCATCTTTGGAGAGGTGATTGGTTATGAATTTAAACTAAGGGAGCGTCTCATTCACAAGACCTACAATCCAGTGTTTGTGACATTACATTCCTAAATTGTTGAACCAATTCTAGTACTGTAAACACACACCACTGGATGAATCATGCAAGAGAGAGGCTAATTGGAAAGGAGACAATTGGTAACCAGCCATGGTGGATAAAAAACTCTTGACAAAATTCAAGGAGTTAGTTTATTATTGCATGCGTTTCTAAAGTGCCAATCACCATGAGTGATACAGCCTTGCTAGCATATCAGTGGGATAACTTTAGAGCCTTTTAATTGCTTTCCAGCTTCCTCAGGAAGCAGCAAGTCTGTTTTGATAGCTGACTATTTTTCTACATTGTTCCTCTCTTGTGATGACAAAGATAAGCAGAATTTTAGTAGCAAACTGTGTTAAAATGAAGATCCTTTCACAGCCCAGATTTTATATGATGGCCTTTATGTTCCAGGAAAAAGCCGAAGAGGTTTCCTCAGACCAAGTGGAAGTGGATAATCTTCCTCCCAAACTGCCTGACATGGAGCAGCCAGTGAGAGACAGCTGGACCAGATCCCGCACGTCCTCAGGAGCTAGCACCCAGAGGTCTGCATTATCAGTGCACACGGAGATTCATGCTGAGTCAGGTATCAGTCAGTGTCTTACTAATCGTACTATCCTGGCAGCCAGCTTTCAAATACAGTATCCAGTTTTTTCTCCTCTCCCAATAAATGTGAATCTAGTTGGACATACACTATCGAATCTAAAGGCTTGTCTACACAGGGAACTCAGAAAAATTAATCCGAATTAACTAAAGATGTGAATTTAAAGTGTATTAATTAAATAACATTAAGCCCCCATATGGACACTCTTATTCAGAATTAAAGTGGCCTTAATTTGGTTTATTTTAATTCACACTTTAAATTCACACCTTTAATTCAGATTATTTTTTCTGCATGTCTCCATGTAGACAAGCCTTAATCCTTATGTTTAACCTCTGTATGATGCTACTACTAAGCCTGTTCTTAAATCTTTTCCATAATAACTTTCCTCCTCACTGTTAGAATTACTGTATATTTTTATTATGATTTATTTTCTGTGTGCTAGTGACATTGTGAGGCAATCTAAAACTCCAAAGAAAGCTGGCTCTGTTAGGTATTTTTCCCCCTATCAGGACATCTGCTAATCTTAAAATACCTTTAAATGCACTGAATTCTCATTCTGTGATGCCTGCTCTTTGTCGTCCGAGCACAGGTGACATTGGGGTAGCCATCTCCTCTCCGTATTCAGACTCTGCGTTTCAGCAGTTTAACCAGCACTTCAGCAGGCCTGGCAGTGAGGAAGAGAATGAAAGTCTACATTATGCAGCTGAAATAGAGGGCAGTGAGGAATCGGAGGAGGAAACACAGCTGATTGTCTTGGACCCAGAACACGTAAGAAAAGTCCAAATTCAAGACTCGTCACTGGTATCGAGGGTTCCATGAAAACTGGGAGGCAAATTGGGCCATGGTTTAGCTGCATTCTAGGTTAAATACGTCATACATCCTTTTTACAAAAGTTCTGACTCCTGTATGGTATCTGCTCCCTCTGTAGTAAATTAGAGTTGCGGTTAGAGCAATGGGAAAATCTGGTGAACTTCAGTTCTCATGAAAATGAAGGACCTATAGCTGGTGGGCAAGTGCTGTGCAAGCTTCCCTCGCACAGCTGTGCCATTCATTTCACTTCTAACCTCCAAAGACTCTGGGCCTCACCTAAACAGAAACGACTAGTGATGCCAAACGAGGTGGTAGTTTTATGATATTAATAAATGTCCACTAGGCTCAGGCTGAATCTGCGTAACCCATTTCACTTGCAGCCTGCTCAGGACAGGAACCCAAGTCTCCAGAGGTGAAAATGCAGTGTTATACCTGACACATGTTCCTTGATAACTTATTCATGCAGGTGTTATAAGGATGCTATCATCATCTTCCTTCCCTCTCTAGCCCCTGATGAGAAGATTCCAAGCTGCCTTAAAGAATTACCTTAGTAAACAGATGGAAAAAGTGACCATGGAGCTTCGGGAGCTGGTATAGTAGTCTTCCTTGGATTTCCCACAGCATTCCAGCCCTGTCCAAGTTGGTGTGAATTGACCCATCTCCTCTTGTGTCTGCAGACGGTGGCCACAAAGCAGGGTAAGGTGCAGAGGGAGGATCTGGGAATGGTCCTTTATGGGGTCCAGCAGCAGCTGGCCCGGCTGCAGATGGAACTGGAGAAGAACCAGGACCGATATTCTCAGATAGCCATGGTGCGTCGGCAGCTAGAGGAGGAGCTGCAGGACATCAGAAATTTGTACAAGAAAACATGTCAGAGCACTGAGGATGAACGCAAGAAAGGTGACTAAGGTGCTCTTGCGTAGTCTTTCCTTATTCTAGTCAAATGACAAAATGAGGTTGAGCGTAGGTCAAACAAGGGTTTGAAGAACATCAGCCCAAGCATTCAGGAATGGCTCGCTGACTGAAAAGATCAACCCAAGCATACCTGGTATGCCTCGCCAGTTAGGCCTCCTGTAGCATAGCTTGGCAATTGAATTGGTTAGTTTGTAAGCTCTTTAGGGTGTGGACCATTTTTTATTCTATATCTGTAAAGCACCACGTATATTCAAAGCACTATAGATGTACCTAATACTTGTCTTGGTTTTGACATAATTTCTACCAGTATAACCCCCATCTTTGTCATAAGACAAATGCTTTTCTGTCCCTTTAAGGGATTCCTTTGAACAAAGGCCATTCCTGGCAAATAGGCTTTCATAGATTCTAAGGCCACATTGTGATCATCTAACCTGATCTGTATAGCACAGGCCAGAGAACTTCCCCAAAAGAATTCCTAGAGCAGATCTCTTAGAACATAAGAACGGCCACACTGGGTCAGACCAGACGTCCAACTTGCCCAGTATCCTGTCTTCCGACAGTGGCCAATGCCAGGTGCCCCAGAGGGAACGAACAGAACAGGTAATCATCAGGTGATCCATGCTTAATCAAGTGACCCGTTCCATCATTCCCAGAAAAACATCCATTCTTGATTTTAAAATTGCCAGTGAGGGAGAATTCACCAGGACGTTTGGTAAGTTGTTCCAATGGCTTTCCAATATTCAACACAACTCATTTCCCACCATTTGGCTATTTATACTTGTCTGAGGCCTCTGCCTGGGACTGTTGCGGCTTTGGTGAAGATTGCAGATCCTTAGTTGATTAGACAGCCTGGTGCATCAGATGACTATCTTCTGCATGGCAACCCCTTACAGTCAAGGAAGTGACCTTAGCTGGGCTATTTCAGTATTGTGGAGATACAGGATATACTGGGAATTGAGGGCACTTACCAGGTCTCTTGGGGAATTTCTCCCCAGGAATTCTGCTCCAGGAACTGATGTTCATGCCCACCTCAGAGAGGGTCATATGACTTGGGGGGGGCGGTTAGGGGTTTTGCTCTGTCTACATCCTAATTTCTTTCTCTTTTAGCTCTGGTATGGTACATGCTGCAGAAATCCTCTTCTGTAACTGACCTTTCCACCTATCTCCCCAGTTTCTGTAATGCAGACCGAGGTGGAAAACCTGGCCTTGCGTCTGTTCTATATGCAGAACATGGACCAGGATGTGCGTGACGACATCTCTGTGATGAAACGGGCAGTGAAGAAGGCTGAGGCAGACAGGAACCAGGCTGAGGTGGAGAAGAAAAAACAGGTATAGGGCAAATATCAAGTCTGACAAAGAGGCTGTGAATTATGTCATTGGAGTTCAGAGTCCCTTGGGGAAATGCTGTCTTGTCATACAGAATGCTAAAAGAACATATTCTAGGAAGATTGGTACAAAATGTGGTCTGCCATCTTCCATTCTTAGATTGTATTTGTTTGCAAATACCAGGTAGTTCCTTAGATGTGCGTTTTCTAAATCAAATCATTCATAAGAACATCAGAACGGCCATACTGGGTCAGACCAAAGGTCCATCTAGCCCAGTGTCCTGTCTTCCTACAGTGGCCAATGCCAGGTGCCCCAGAGGGAATAAACAGAACAGGTAATCATCAAGTGATCCATTCCTGTCGCCCATTCCCAGCTTCTGGCAAACAGAGGCTAGGGACACCATCCCTGCCCATCCTGACTAATAGCCATTGATGGACCTATCCTCCAGGAACTTATCTAGTTCTTTTTTGACCCTTGTTATAGCCTTGGCCTTCACAACATCCTCTGGCAAGGAGTTCCACAGGTTGACTGTGTGTTGTGTGAAAAAATGCTTTCTTTTGTTTGTTTTAAATCTGCTGCCTATTAATTTCATGTGGTGACCCCTAGTTCTTGTGTTATGAGAAGGAGTAAATAACACTTCCTTATTTACTTTCTCCACACCAGTCATAATTGTATAGACCTCTATCATATCCCCCCGCTTAGTCGTCTCTTTTCCAAGCTGAACAGTCCCAGTCTCATTAATCTCTCCTCATATGGCAGCTGTTCCAGACCCCTAATCATTTTTGTTGCCATTTTCTGAACCTTTTCCAATTCCAATATATCTTTTTTGAGATGGGGCGATCACATCTGCACGCAGTATTCAAGGTGTGGGCGTACCATGGATTTATATAGAGGCAGTATGATATTTTCTGTCTTATTATCTATCCCTTTCCTAATGATTCCCAACATTCTGTTCGCCTATTTTTCCCTCTAAATTAAAAAAAAACTCCCAGAAACCTTCCTGACAGCAAAAAAAAATCAAAAACCACAGCACAGCTTCTTTGAGTAACTCTATAGTAACAACCCAGTATCCAGACATGCAAAGGAGGAAGGTGAGGTTTAGTGAGGAGACACCTTATTTTCAAGCCCCGGGGGGATTATTCTGAACAATGATGAGTTTAGAAAAGTGATTTTGCAACACAAAATATAGCTGGCCCATTCGTTTTAACTCATGCTCCCTCTGCTGGTTAGATGACTGCCTCTTGCAGCAGAATCAATATTGTAGGATTCTGTGAACAGTGGCAATGGAGTGTGGATTTTTGATAGCTATTTAGAGGGCGTTTTCTTCTAAATTATTACCTTTTAAGATAGTCAGATGCCATGGTGATGGGCACAGTGTAATAACCTAGATAGATAGAAGTTAGGTGACATTTTGGACCTGACGCTCTTCCTTGATATGAGACTGACGAATATAAATGGACTAATGAATCCTCTGCAGAGTGGTGCAGTGGACTGAGCAATCTTGACCACTCAGCAGAGATGGAGATGACTGTTGTCACATGGCACTGCACTCACTAGTGAGGATGGTGACGATCTGAGAGCCACCACATCTAATGCAACACCCTCACTTGACCCTGCTTCCCCCATGTGATTCTTGCTGAATTCATGGTGTCAGGGTTGGGATTGTTTGCAGTATTTGTGCTGATCTGTTGTGGTCTGATTTTTGTAGGATCTGCTTGTAGACCGCTTAACCAGGAAGTTCAATGAACTGCAGGAGCAGATTGGTCTGTATGAAGCTCAATTTATTGCCCAGGCTGAAGACACAAAAATAACACGAAAAGCAGTGAATGAGGTAGGAGATGACAATATTTTTCATGTGTGGTTAATATTACATGTTGTGATGGGCCAGAGTCCTCCACCCTGCGCTTAACACAGTACACACACCCTGAGTCCAAAATCTCACACCCCTGCCCTTTGTGTGAATAAAGGGTTTCCTATGGTCTTAAGAACAACAACAAATAAAACTTATCCTGAGTTGGCAATTTGTAGGGTTTCCCCCTGCAAGACCTCCTGTCTCCCCCCCTTAGCTCCTTTACCTTGGAGGGAGACACACACCCCTTCTATGCTCCTGGATTGGAGCTAATCAAACCCATCGGGTGTGACTGATAGGATGAGTCTTCAGCAGAGCAACTCCATGCCAGGTCCAATCTCTGACATCCATTTTCCTACATATTAATTACACATCTTTCTCCAGTACATCATAGTAGCACAATATCCAAGTATTACATAGTAATTATATTTAGCTTTACACCTAAGTGTTACCGCAATGTAAATAATAGCTGTATAGTGCTACCAGTCCATCACAATACGCTGCACAGATGCACTGACCCAACTGTGCTAGCACAATACACCTTTTCTAGTCTGGATTTTCATGTTAAATCTGTAGCGTAATACATTACCATTTACAGTACATTGTAAATTGTATCCCATAAGACACAGAGGATGTGAGACAAGGCTGAGTTAATGTTGCTGTTGGAGCCTTGACTTTTGCATTTCTTTTCCTTTCTGCAATTCTTGTCTGTGACCTTAATGTTGCAAAAAAATGTTCATGTACATAATGATATAAATTGCACTTTCGGTTACAGTGAAGTTGTTAGAGTAACTGAAAACAAGATTCAGAGTGGTAGCCGTGTTAGTCTGTATCAGCAAAAAGAACAGGAGTACTTGTGGCACCTTAGGGCTGGTCTACACTGCCGCGCTAGTTCGGCGGCTGGGGATCGAAGTTCCGAGTTCGATTTATCGCGTCTGGTCTGGACGCGATAAATCGAACCAGGAAGTGATCCCCGTCGACTGCGGTACTCCAGCTCAACGAGAGGAGTACCGCGGAGTCGACGGGGAGCCTGCCTGCCGCGTGTGGACCGCGTCTGAACCGCGGTAAGTTCGAAGTAAGGTATGTCGAATTCAGCTACGTTATTCACGTAGCTGAATTTGCGTACCTTACTTCGACTTGGGGGGTAAGTGTAGACCAAGCCTGAGAGACTAACAAATTTATTTGGGCATAAGCTTTCGTGGACTAAAACCCACTTCAACAGATGCATGCAGTGGAAAATACAATAGGAAGATATATATATACAGAGAACATGAAAAAATGGGTGTTGCCACACCAACTCTAATGAGACTAATCAGTTAAGGTGGGCTATTATCAGCAGGAGAAAAAAAACTTTTGTAGTGATAATCAGGATGGCCCATTTCCAACAGTTGACAAGAAGGTGTGAGTAACAGTAAGAGAAAGATTAGCATGGGGAAATAGTTTTTAGTTTGTATAATGACTGGACAGCATTAAATTAGGCTTGAATAAAGACTGGGAGTTAGTCTCTAAGGTGCCACAAGTACTCATTCTTTTTGCTGAAAACAAGATGTAAGCCAATGCGTTTAATTCACTTACTCTACAAGGGTAAAGGTACAAAGAGCCAAAGAAAGAGCAGGGGACATAGGAAAACAAGAGAAGACAAAGCATGAATATTTCGAGCTGTTTCTTCCCAGCTGTATTGTGAAATGAAGTGGGCAGTGAGGATGGAATGCAGGTGTGAGACCCCAGCCCAGTGTTGATTCAGTATCTCAGAGTGGTGTCTCTCTGCAGGCTTGTATGGAGATACAAACTATTAACATGGAGAAGAAGCAACTGATGCATCAATGGGATAGCAGTTTGACTGGGATGAAGCGACGAGATGAAGCCTACTCTGCCATGCAGGAGGCACTAAGGTATAGCATCTGAAAGTGGGCCAACAAAAAGAGTAGCTACACTTTGGATGGGAGTTATTCTGAGAGAGAAAAGAGTGCTGTCAAGGTTATTGTTAATATAGTGTTGTATGTACAGAGTCCGCTAAACGAAGAATAAATCTGTTGCTCTGAAGAGCTTAGAAAGGCAAAGGGTCATTTACGGTAAGGGGCATCATTTTTTGTTAGTGTTTTCTCCCTTCACAGCATGATTTTCCTTCAAAGGTATGAAACAGATAACTAGGCAGAGTTCTCTGGTTTGCATTTCACTCTATCCCTTGCAGGACTTCCCAGGACAAAAGAAGAGGCATCAGGAAAGATTTACCTAGGTCATTTGCAGTCACAATGTGGTGACATTCGGCAAGAACCCATTCCGCAGGAAATCCCGACCTTTGGTGCCGAAGGGAATGTGCGTTCTTTCTTTAGCCCTAAAACTTGCCCAATGGAGCATGAATCAGCAAAATACTTTTCTACTCTGATTTCCTGAGGAGAATAGGGAGAAGAACTGAAAGAAATTCATTTTCTATAGACACATTTCCTTTTGACTTTTGGTTTCTCCGTCCATCTGCCAAGAGCTCTGTGTTGTCACATTCACACTGCTGCAAGGGAGACATGCTGACGCTGTCTGCTTTCCCTTAAGCTCTACATCAGGGTTGGGAGAAGGATGTTTCCACTGTCAAACACCCATCTCTGCCAGCCACTTATAAGGCTCCAACTTGACTATGATGTTGGTTATTCTGCTAGTTTCAGTAGCTTGGTACCTGTGTAATGAAATGTGCCTGTGGGAAGACATTGTGTGGAAGGAAATGACGGCTGAACTTGGGAAACGGAGAGGGCTTCTGAAGTGGAATACGTTATATCCCCAACTCAGGGTACTCAGATACCATCGTGAGGGGGGCGGTATTAAAACATGGAATGGAAGTGGAAATAAAATGGAATTTGTTGCTGAGTATTTGGATCCTATTAAGATTGAAAGGTCAGCCAGCTGTAACCCAGCTGTTCATCCAGCAGCTAAATCTCAGCCGCTCGGCGACGGTAGAGAGGAACTTTGTGAAACATTATTTTATTTATCACAAGCCTGTGGGCTACTATTGGGGTTGCAAGCAGTTTGTTTTAACTGCAGAGATGCATGACTTGCATCCATATGACTGTGGAGGGGGAAATTAGTGAGGAATTCAAGAGAACATCGGGGCAGACAAGAGAGAAATACTGTCACCGAGTTAATTACTTCCAGGCACTCATCAGCTGGATAGAACCCACCCAGAAACAGAATATATTTTTCACAGAGTATGTGGTAAAGTATTTCATAAAATGTACTAAATGTATATTAAAATACTCCTGATGATATACAAAATATGTTTAAATTGTGACAAAATTGGTTAGTTTTCATGCAGTCAACTAGGTGCAATCTGTAGTAAATATGTATGATGTCTCTCAGAATCACACACTGCTGTTTCCTGTGAGAATACAGCTTTGCTGAAGCAGTTCACTCCACTCTAAGCAGAGAAGAAAAACGCTCGCTTCTCAGCTGCTGAAATCTGTGATTCCCACCTCCTCCAGCTCCCCATAAGTGAGAGAGCTGCCTGCTTCTCTCCATACACTGGCATCTTCTTTGTTTTCTCTCTCCTTAGTGTAACTTCCCAGCATGGTGACCCATCCACTCCCAGTGTATCCAGGCTGTGGGTCTCCTTCACCCTTCCCATCAGGACATCCTCTGGAATGTAGCTTATTGGCAAGGAAATGACATGATGCCACCAGTAACAGTTGGGTCATCACAGCATGGGCCTGGTGGAAAGAGGGGGGGAAATATCATGAAAAAGAGCATACCTGTTCCAATACAAATGGGTACCTGAGGGCCTGAAAGGACCCCTTCCCCAACAGAACCTATGTTATGCCTATCCTTTCGTCAGGCAGGACTGAAGGCAGTTCCTCACATCAGTGTCCCTTCTGGGCCAATTGGAGCATGGTGCTAAAGAGCCATGCAGGGAGCTTCTATCCTCTCACTCCTAGAGCTGGTGCCCCAGTAGTTCTGTGTTCCCATCTGAACTGGCCCTAGGTGTTTTGGGCTGAGATCAAGCCCTGAGGTCTCATCCCCTGAACTGCAGTGTAACAGGACTGGGAGATCTAGAGCACAAGGAGCTATTCAAAATTATCCAAAAAATTAGGTGCATTGGTTTTATTTCCAGTAGGGTGATTTTAATGAACACAGATAGCCCCAGTGCTGAATAAACTTGTCTGATTTTCATGCTCTTCACTTACTCATTTCTGCAGCAGCCTGTTTGAAAGCAGGAGTTTGGAGTTGACTATCCAGTGCATAAATCAGTCCCCATGACACTCTCCTGTCTTCTCCTTGGCCTTGCAGGCAGTCCAAGCACCAGCTCAAGTCCTTAGAGACAGAGATCCAAGTCTACAAGAAGTCAGTCACGAAGGAGGAAGAGAGGAACGAGCTGCTTGCCAGCATCTTGAACCGCTCGGAGAATGATGCCAACATGAGCAAGAAGCTGATTGCCCAGTGCACGGCCAAACAGGATGCCCTGAAAGTTGAATACAGCACATACACCCGCACGCTACATGAGACAGAGCAAGCCCTCAGCAGGGCCAACTCGGTGAGACCAGATACCCGCGGAGAAGAGGCTTTTTGAATCAGACATTGATATTTTGTCACCTGTAGATTTCCATCCACTTTCCCCAAATCCCAACAGCCTGCACTTTTGAACAGCCCTGTTTCCGTGTTTTTCCTCTCAGGACCGGGCTGCTCGGATGAATGAGCGGCAGGCCATCAGTAAGGAAATAGAGAAAGAGACTGAAGCCAGACAGGAGTTGGAGAATCAGATCATGGCAAAGCTGCAGGATCAGCTGATGTCCAGCAAAGCAGCAAAATATTTTTCCCAACTGGCTGCTAAACTTCATAAGAGAAAGCTGGATCTGGTATGGCATCTGCTTCTGTGTGACTGATGGTAGCTGACCTGTAGGAGAGAGAGACACATTCTGTGTTTATTCCCTGCAGGATACTACAAGTATGGCCCAAAGGCCATTGCCGCCAATAGATAGCCTCCCCTGCCAAAAAAAAAAAAAGGACCCCATCTAAAGCACGCTCCATCACATTCCCTGTGTTCCTAGTGCTCCAGTCACTGCCAGGAGGACAGGGCTTTGTCCTTGACTATGTAGCATTCTAGCCAAATTCTAACTTGGGTCATTCCCTTTGCCTTATTAAATTTCTCGTACAGTTTCAAATGGCTGGGATTCTTCTTTACTTACAATCCTAAGCTGTTGCATTATGTTGCCATGTGCTGTTAAATTGCTATTTCACCCTACAAGTGGCTGTATTTCAGCGGTGGGTGAAGTGACTCCCTTGTAAACTGTAGGCTGAGTTTGTAAAATACTTTAGGACTCTTCAGGATGAGAAGTACTATAGAAATATGAGAGATCTCTGTTACTGTTCATCAAGTTTTCAGGTCTTGTGGAAAGGGCAGGGGACATTCCTATTAAGCATAAAAGTAGAAGGGCCTGCAAAGCAAAATGCAGCTTCTCTGAATTCCCCCCCAGGTGCAGATGTGCCTGAGAGCTCTTCCCTCCCCAGCTGCCTTTTGAGGATCATATTGCAGGATTTCCGAATATAATTTAGCCAAAGAAATATTACTGCCATCTTGTACAGCAGGTACTGGCTTCAAGTTCGGCTTAGAGAATGGCATAGAGTGATGCAACTCAGGGCTGCATGCTCTTACATGTGGAAAGGAATACAGCAGACCCACTCTCTAAATGAAGTGAACCAGAGGCGGCAAAGCACAGAGCATGAAATTTTACGATCTGGCTGCCCTCATCAGCATACAGAGATGCAGCTCACAGAGACTACAAGTTCCAGCAAGAAGTGTGCCATCCTGAGTTGAGTGACCTAGTGGTCACCTCAAGAATGTAGCAGCGAGTGCTCAGACTTGTATTTCTATGGGCCCTGTTTCTCTGTTCAGTATTAAGGCGACTTCACTCTACTCCATTTTCTATAAATCAGGTGCAATCCTTGGGCTCCTGGCAAGCTTTAATGCTGCCTTTGATTGTGAAACATGCAGGCAACTCCAAGATAGAGGCGGGGCAAGTGGATCTTCTGTAGTTATTTGCATCTCTGTGTCTGTCTGTCCAGATGTAACTGAGGCATATAGGTTGGGAAAATAACTTTAGGGATGATGATGATGATAAACTTTGCCTTCTCTAGCATCTTCCCTCAAAGGACTTCAGGTTTACTCCTCCCATCATCCCTAGGAAGTAGGTAAATATCATTATCCTCATTGTACTGATGGGGGAAGAGAGGCGCCGAGAGGTTAAGTAACTAGCCCAAAGCCCCATAGCACATTTGACAGAGCTGGAAATAGACTCCAGGTCTCCTGACTCCGAGTCCCATTCTTTACGTACTAGACGTGCTCCTCTCTTAGCCATATTTCGTTGACAGGATTGCAGACCTGTTTACAATACTAAGAAGTGGATTCCTGCTGAATGACAATGCTTTTGTTGTTGTTGATGTTATTAGGAGCTGCATTTTTCCAAAGTTGAGAATGACACAGCCCAGGTCATTCTGGACACAACTCACACCAACTGCAGGCTCTCTATGCTCCAAAAGACATTCTCTGAGCTGGACAAGGAAATGAAAAATATCAATGACCTGATCAACCGCAGTGAGAATGAGATCGCCAAGCGCAATCTCCTGATCGAGCGCAAGCAGGGGGTCGTCAACCTGTTCAACAAGAAAATGGAGATGATGATTTCCCAGTTGGGGGTACGTCCCTTATGCTTAATCCCCCAAACCTGATTTCATTCTTTGACGAGATTACAAATTTGGTTCATAAAGGTAACTGCGTAGTAGAGGTAATAGACATGGGTGAGTAATGACAGGATGTGTCTCTCCTGTACAATGCACTCAGAATGCCTGTTGTGCTGATTTTTGTGTTACTATCTGTAGCCCTAAAAAACTGTCAAAGCAGCAGCCCTGGCCAATACCTCTCCTGGGAGGCCAGACTAAATGTAAACCCCAGTTCTGGCTGCTGAATTCTGCTGCTGATGTGAGCACGTCCCCAGTTTAGACTCATGATTAGTTTTAATGCAAAAATTAAATCCCAGCTTCACAATGTGTCATTTTAAGAAATAATCCAACAATTGATTAAGAGCAAATCTATGGGATGAGGATTTTTCTTGGTGCATTTAGGGACTTCCATTCAGGGTGTGTCCTTACAAACCTAAACACAAGAAAGGGGGTGGAGGAGGGTAAAGATAGGAAAGCCATACACAGAAAGATAGGAAAGCCATACACATGCTTATGCATGACAGAAACGAATTCTGTACCACCAGAAGCAACCCCCAAAGCTGTTCACATGATCCCAGAACTCAGATAGCAGCACTGCTGATGCAGCCATGAGCTGGAAAAGCATTTGGATCCCATCATGCAAAATAAGCCTTTCAGGCATCCCTGTGCTGAGCTCCGGAAGGCCTAGGGATGCCACAGTAAGTAGCCTCTCTGTCTGACTAATACTAAACTTCTTTCCTTTATAGGGCCAAGAACTGGGACCCTTGGAAGTTGAGATCAACACGCTGACCAAGCAAATAGATGAATACAACTCAGAGGTGATGACACTGCAGAAGTACTGGCTCAGGCTGCAGAAAGAGCTGGTCAAACTGACCCAGGAGCGGGAAGAGCAGCTCGCCTCCCTGGATATGTTGAAGAAACAGATCACCATCATGCAACAAAAGAAAGTGCGCACGGAAAGTAAGTGTTTCCCTCAAGCCTCCTGGCGGTGTTAATCGGCGAGCGGGCATGCACTGCCAGAGAACAAAGGGAGAGAAGGTTCAATAACTTGTAATATTAGAGCCCCTCAACAAAGAACATTTCCAGTATCGGCAAGCATAGTGCCACATATGAGCAATACAGTGTATCTGGGGCTACAAGCCAGGCACCTTCTGCCACTTGAGCAGTCTGGTATCCCCGCTAAGGGCTGGATCTTGCAGCCTTTACTTAGGTAAGAGGAAGGGTTGCAGGATCGCACCCCAAGTGACCATCTTGATATGTTACTGTTCTTAGGAAATAGAGTCATAAAGGTTAAGGCCAGAAGGGACTACCAGATCATCTAGTCTGACTTCTGGTGTATCACAGGCCACCAGCACCACCCAGCACCTGCACACTAGACCCAGCAACCGAATTAGACCAAAGTATCACGGCTTCCAGGAGACTAGACTATTATGTGCCACAGGCAGAGCACAGGAGGGACCGAGGTGCACCAGTGCCCTAGGCCCCAACAACGTCAAAGGAGTGAGATATGTGACGGGTTACCTCCCCACTCCGGAGTGCCACCCGATGTCCTGGGGTACCACTGAGCCTGCCTGGTCCACCAGCCTGGGCTCCCTTACACTGTTCTGCTGAGCCAGGCCCTCAAGCCTCCTCCAGCACACACAGGTAGGGACACCCCCACCTGCCGAAAGACACAGACACTGAAATCAGCTCTGCCTGGGAACAGTCAGCTAGGGAAGTGCTCAGCCCTCAAGTGCACCCCCCCCCCCGGGGTGCAAACCCCAAATTGTATTGTCTTGCGCTGCACAGAAAACGGTAGAGCGCCAGCTCATGAAATTCGCCCCCTCCCTCAATGTGGAGGAAGATCTGCACAGCTTCTTGCCTCCCCAGTTATGAATTCCACAAACTGGTTTTAGAGAAAACAAAAACAAGTTCATTAATTTCAAAAGATGGATTTTAAGTGACAGCAAACAGAGCCAAGCAGATTACCTTAGTAAATAAACAAAAACCACAAACTGAGCGTAACACACTAGATAGATATGATATAAATTAGCAAATTCTCACCCTGAGTGATAAACAGGCTGGCAGATTCTTAAGGCACAAGTTGCCTTGGCTTTTCCAGGTTTTCATACACAGGCTAAAGATCCTTCTAGCCTGGGACCATCACTTCCCACAGTTGAGTCCTGGCCCCTCAGGTGTTTCCAGGTGTGGTGTTGCAGGGAGAGTGAGGTCCCCTCATGATGTCATTGTCCCCCTTTTATATCTTCTTCCCACTTGCTGGAAAGCTCTTTTGCTGTGACTTGGGTCAAACAGTTCCCCTTGTGTAGAGCTATCTCTGAGAGGTTTCTGTCGCACACAGTTCCTGGGGTAATCCCTGTGCTCGTGTGCATTTCCTCAATGAGCCAGTAACGTTGTTTGGCCTTTTCACTGTTGTACCTGAAAGGCTGTTTGTGGGTGCTCAACCTCGCAATATGTTTCAGTAACACATACATAGCCAAACTTCACAACTTCACACACGACAATAGCACATACAATCCAACGAGATGTTACTATCTAGCAGATGAAGACTTTTAGAATGATACCTCACAAGACATAATTTGTACAAAACATATCCTGATTACATGACAGTGCTGGATATTGGGGAGTCAGGGTGTCACAAGATATAGCTAGATAATCCTGGCAAGTGACCCACATCCAAACACCGCAGAGGAAGGCGAAAAACCTGCAAGGTCACTGCCAATCTGACCTGGGGGGAAAATCCTTCCTGACTCCACATATGGTGATCAGTTAGACCTTCAGCATGTTTGTCACCTTTTGTCTAACAGGTGGCTGGTACGTGCCCAACCCTGAGATTATAGCAATTCTAGCATCCTTTCATCATCACCATTTTCAAAACATGGCTTTGGCTTTGGCTTTATGGAAAGGCTTGTGGCTTTGTCAGAGTCCATGGAGACTTTCAGAGTGGGTAGCTACAAGTGCCGCTTTGTCTACACTGTCAGAACTCCCCCACCCCCAGTGCCCTGGTGAGAACTCTCTGCTTCCACTTTTTAAAATCTTTTCCATCTCTTTCCTGGAAAGATGAAATCCAGCAGGAGAAGAACGAGCAGAAAGACATTGAACGCCACATGAGGAACATGGCCAATGACTTGATGAAACTCAACATGTTAATCAACAAGAACAGCCACAACTCGGAGGAGCTGCAGCATGGCAACACCATCATAGAGAATGAGTTTGTCCGCTCGCTCAAGGTAGGGAAGGCATTGCTCCTCGTCTCCTAGACACAGCCTGACACACAGCAATCTTGCTGAGCTCCCACTGGCACGGTGTTGCAGGAGACAGTCAGAGATTGCTAACTGCTGCCCCTATGGCACAAACTATGTAACCAGATGGAAATGTACAGCTGTGCACAGAAAGGCTGTCCCAATTAGGTTCCTGTGCAGAGACAATGATTCCCTTTACATAGCCCAGGAGGGTTTGAAATTCTACCTGTGTTGTGGAGAGGGTTGTCAGCCAAAAGAGGCAGGAAGATCAGAGGCAAGCAGTGAGCCTGCCAGCGCCTCTCAGTCTGACATAGTGATGTTGATTTCTGCTTCCCAACTCTAGGCAGCAGAGAGAGAGTCGATTGAGATGCAGGAGAAGCTGGACCGACTGCATGAGGAGAAAGAGAGACTCCTAAACAGCCTGGTGGAAGCAGAGTGAGACCCAGACTCCTTGTTTTATGCCACTGTTTGAACTCCCTTGTCATGCAACTGCATTATCCTTCCTGCCCTAATGCTGTAGGGGAAAATGCGTCCTGTCAGATTGACATGCTCCTTTCCTGGCTCCCCTTTACCTTGGATGGGAAGGTGGGACGAGTCCTATCACTTTTTGTAACCCAGAAGGTTAAGGGTCTATCATTTATTTTCTGCAGGCCAGGTACAGTCACAGTAACTGCTGTTCCGTCTTCCCCATACTGCTGCACAGGAGCCTGTTCCCGTAGATGAATGAGAAGTAATGTGGTCTCCACTCTCACTCAGTGCTTGGCCTCTAGTCAGCAGAACGCTGCCAGCGTTGAGTGAGTGGGGGAGAGGGGAAAACTCAGTATGGAGTGGTGTGATGTAAGGCCAATGGCTGTCCAGAGGAAGGTAGTACATAATCCAAAATTCTCAAACTTGGGACTTCACAGTAGGCCCCTAAATAAAGGGCCTGATTTTTCAAAGCTGCTGAATTAACAAATGTTGGCATTAATCCTCTATGCTGCAATCCCAACCCCGACTTCTACCATTATCATGGCACTTCTGACTTGCAGAACCCTGATGGACTCTCACATTGAGGGCACCAATGGGTCATGTTCCATACAGTGAACTCTTAGTTTCCTGCTGGACTGTTGAGCTTTGGACTCAGAATGGGGGTCCATAGTGTGACATCACATATACAAGGGAATCAAGCGGCAGGGTGACCCCTTCTTTTTCATACAAAGGCATCCCCTCCCATTCTCTCCTTGAAGGCATCAGATCATGCTATGGGAGAAAAAGATCCAGCTGGCCAAGGAGATGCGTGCTGCAGTGGACTCAGAGACAGGGCAAGGCGAGATCCGAGCCATGAGAACAGAGATCCATAGGATGCAGGTGAGCCAAGGTGGGAGGGGGAAGAGGAGACTCACAAGATTAACCAGCTTTGCAGGAGATGCTGAAACATCAAACAGTAGATAGGAGATAACTTGGGGAAGTATTATCTCCAAGGTTCCTGGCAGTGTCAGGGATAGGTGTCTTCCTGTGACCTGTCCAGCAACTGAACTAGCTCAGCATGCTGTTACACCTCTTTACATGTTACTTGCGTTAGCCTAGCAATGGGGGAGCTCAGCAAAAGGTAGACCTGACTGGGAAGGGTTACAGGATAGTGTGTATCTTACTACATGGTGGCCCAGCAGCACTTACGGAATACTACATCCACCAATGCACTGATTCAGAGAAGTGTTTCTCTCTCTGCCAAAGCAACCTCCTCTCCCACCCACAGGATACTTCTACCCTCCTTCCCTTATTATTGCATTTAGATGAATTTATTACATTGAAATCTTTAGAAGGTTGTGTTGGGCAAGCGGATAGGGAGTCAGTTATTAGTCTGATGCCCCCCAGATCCATGCTGTACAAACCTGGCGCATGAGTTTGTTGAAAGATTTGGGCTGTCAAGGCCAGTGTGTCAAATGTGTCCTGTCTCAGTAGTTGGAATTTGTCACACTGAAAGTCTTCTATCAGATGTAATTTGTGACCACTGGGGATCTTCAGAGTTTCTCTCTCCTCACACATGGCAGGTCCGCTACAGCCAGCTGACAAAGCAGCAGGAGAAGATGATTCGAGATATGGAGGCCGCTGTCTCCCGCAGAGAGACCATCATGATTCGGGGGGAGGGCCAGAGCAAAATGGATAAGAAACATTTCACCAAGAGCGACTTCCACCACAAGACACAGGAGCTGCGGAAGAAGATCAAGGAAACCCAAAAGGTGAGCAAGTAGAGAGGGGCCATAAGAACTGATTTTTTCTGCACTCGCTTTGTTATTAGAAACATGTCAGATACTGCTTGACATCAATTTTGCTTTATGACCTACTATCAGACTATGCAAGGAGGATGTCATGCAAGGTTCACTGAGCCAACCTTTCTCCCAGATGGCAAGGAAAGTGCTGTGGACATATGTCAGTGGGGAAGAGGACACTGGGGATAGGCCATGGTGAAACTCATGTTGGTCTCTAGGATTCTATGGTATTCCTCATGTAGCTCTGAAGATCATCTGCTTTTTGCTACTGCCTGAAGGGGGATCACGTGCCAGATCCACTAACCTTCTGTCTTAGAAGAACCTGATGGGACTTTTATTCAAACACCTCAACACTGCTCCTCATTCCCCAGTTATCTATTTCCTTTAATCGCTTGGGGTTGGGGAAGAAAAGTGCTTGGTGCATATTCTGTGCCATCTGCCTCTCTTCATGGTAGTGTAAAGAAAAGTGCAGTAATGTGCCCCCAGGCATGAGACACACTCACTGCATGGTAATGCAGTGAAACACCAGTGGACTGTCACCTTTCCTGGCACAACATTAGAATGCTCAGTGTGCCTAATGGGCATCTAGCAGTGTGAGTGTCTGAGCCTTCAGGCCACAAAGTATACTTACTAAAGGAAGTACAGCCTTTAAATGTCCAAGAAAGGGAGAAGTTCTCAGGTGATAATTTGGCAATGCAGTTGGCATGCAGAGGCAGAATCTCAAGTTTCCTTCCCTTCCTTTCATTAGAATGCTCAAGACTGCAACAGAACCATCACAGAGCTGGAGAACACCCAGAAATCTCTCAGCATCAGCCTTCTGGAAAAGCGGCAGCAGGTCTCCAGTTTGCAGGCTGAGACTGATGTCCTTGATGCAGACATAGAGCGGCTTCAGGACAAGAAACGTTGGGTAAGGTGTCTGTAATACATAGGCACTGCATGTGTTATTTTCCTGTGCTGCCACCAGCCCACACGGCCTTTCTACCTCATCCCAAACCACATGTACCCAGCTCAGGCTGGATATTTGGGCAGCATCATGTTCATGTTCCGCTCTAGAACTGGAAGTCTCAACAATAAGAGCAAAGCTCATCTGTGTGGGAGACAGAACTTTCTCTGGGGGTGGTGTGACCCGACTGACCTCCCTTGTCTTTTAAAATTCACAGAATTGCTCTGTCTTTGCAAGATTTCCCTTCTATGCATGTGTCTGATTTGGAGGTTATGTTGTGATCATTTATATATAACACTCAACATGGGGGATGCCCACATGAGTAGTTACAACAGGACTTCACTGAGCTGTCCCTCTTAATAACCCCCCATTTCAAGATGTGATAGTCACTTTTCCTCCCCCCATTTCATTAAGTCCTCCTTACTCTCCTCGCTCCTTTTATGCAGTCAGGTGTCCTCAATGCACTTTTCATTGTTGCTCTTCTAAGAACCTTTCAGAAATTGTGGCCTATCAGACTCGGCAGAAGCATCTGCAGGCGGTGAAGGACGGGAAGTATACCCCACTCTGCCGCACCCCGCAAGCCCTGCAGAAGGAGCAGCGGAAACAGCAGGACCGGCTGCACACCATTAATGTCATCATCCATCAGATTCAGCAGGAGTATCCTCAGTCCCAGAGGGTGCTGTGCTGGTTCAGCCAAGCCCTGGACTCCAGGCTTGGGTCACAGGAAGCGGAATAGGCAGAAGCACAGAGCCAGAGCTGAATAAAGTCTCTTTTGACAAATATTTTCACAAATAAATACAGTATAAGCTTTTACTGCTCTGGTCACTCTCCTGGATGTTGGAGGCGGAGTAACGGAAAAATGAGTAGCAGTTGGAATCTGCTTTTGAGATCTTGGGTTCCAGCCACGTGTGCCCTGCTCCAGTCTCTGGCTTTTCTGTCTGCTCCAAGACAACAGGCTGGTTTAGCTCCAGCCACTGATATAATTGTGTATTGTGTTAGAACATGGGAAAGAGGTGCAAGTCCAGCTTTAGGGGGTTAAGTCGCACCGTCTTCTCCATGGACAGAGAGACAGACGGGTCCCAGAGCACTTTCGGCCAAATCTGGGCCGCTCACCAGGTTTGAGCTGCATCAAAGTTGAAGATGGAATATGAATGCTTCTGGAATGGGAAGATGCGTGCAGACAGGGCCTAGAAAGACATTCCTGAATGAAGTGGGAAATCCTCTAATCTTGTTCATACTTCCCTTCTATACGGAAGACTGTTCTTTAGTGAATTGCCAACAGTCTTTCCCATCAGTGTGAGCACATCACGTAAGAGCTCCAGTTGCAAAACCAAATCCACATGGCTTTGCTCAGTGGTAATGCCCCTAAATTAGGGAGTTTATGACAAGGTGAAACAGTGAGGTATGGCCTGTGCCGATCAGAATAAGCAGAGGGACATCAGAGGGGAAATGCACGTTTTTCTAAGCGGACTGGACTTGTGTTTAACAGCTGCTTACTTCATAATCCTGTGTAGGAAAACGAGGAAATGAACCCTGCATCTCCAGCAATTTCAGATGTCCCTTTCATTGCATTGCAGTGGGTGCTTGGCATCTCCTCTGTGGTGTGTGTGTTTGAGTGCCTTGCTGCTTGGCTGTGGAGAAATCACTACTGCTGTGGGCCTCAGTTTCCCCACGTGCACCCTGTGGATTATGCTGCCCACCGCCTTTGAGAACGTGCTCTTGAGCCCCGCGCGTGGGAACGGCTACCCGGGGCAGCGAGGTCACGGGTGTATGGGACTTGCGTGTAATCAGCGCGAGCCGGGCGGCGGGGGCGAGGCCCGGTACCGGGAGCGCAGCCCCGCCCCCGCCGTGAGGCCGCCCGGGCCGGCGGGGCGGAGCCGGCCCGTCCCATTGGCTCGCCGGGGCCACCCCCTCACGTGACTCGTGGCCGGGGACCAGCTGACTGCCTGCTCACGTGATCGCAGGGGCGCTCCGGCCCCGATCCCGACCCCGTCCTGCATTGGGGAGCGGACCCAGGTACGGGGCTGTGGGGAGCGGGGTCCCCCCCCAGCCGGGCTCGGGGCAGGGGAGCGGGGACATCCCCCCCCCCGCCAGCGATGGGGCGGGGAGCGTCTCCACTGGTCTTCCCTAGCCACCGGCACGGGCCGTTTTGCCTCGCTGGTGCCCTGGGAGCAGAGACCCCTGGTGCGGGGCCCTTGGCATCACAAGAACGGCCAGACCGGGTCAGCCCAAAGGTCCATCCAGCCCAGTGTCCTGTCTGCCGACAGTGGCCAATGCCAGGTGCCCCAGAGGGAGTGAACCTAACAGGCAATGATCAAGTGATCTCTCTCCTGCCATCCATCTCCACCCTCTGACAAACAGAGGCTAGGGACACCATTCCTTACCCGTCCTGGCTAATAGCCATTAATGGACTTAACCTCCATGAATTTATCCAGTTCTCTTTTAAACCCTGTTATAGTCCTAGCCTTCACAACCTCCTCAGGCAAGGAGTTCCACAAGTTGACTGTGCGCTGCGTGAAGATGTGGTGGGGCTTGATTGTTCTGTTCATCTGTAACTTTCACTCTATGCATCTGAAGAAGTGAGGTTTTTACCCACGAAAGCTTATGCCCAAATAAATCTGTTAGTCTTTAAGGTGCCACCAGACTCCTTGCTGTTCACTCGGAGACTCCCACTCGACCTTCATGTGTAAAATCTGACTGCGGGCTTCTCCCTGTCCCCATCTAGCTGGCTGCCTGGACGGGCTCTCCTGTGCTGGAGGGGCACTTGCTCACCAGCCCCGCGATGCCCCCAGTGAGACTGAAGCAGGCAGAGAATTTCCCCAGCTGCCAGGCTTCCTGCACCGTGCTGCAGGTGTCTGTCATCAGTATTGCTGCTCTGCTCGCAACAGTTGCCCTACACACCATCTTCAATGTCCATGAAGTCATTGTGGCTGCTGCGAGCCTCGGAGACCCCCCGGGGCCAGAGACAACCCACCGATCCGGTAGCGCTAATGGAGAAGGGCGGACGTGGTATCGGAGGTGGGCAGGGCAACTGGAGACCCCAGGCGCTGCTGCGTCAGGGCCCTTGCGCTGTGACCGCTCTCCAGATAGCCGGTTTGACTGTGCACCTGAGAAGCTTCTCTCCAGAGCAGAGTGCGAGGCTCGGGGCTGCTGCTACGTCCCGGTTTCCTCTAGGGGCCCTGCGATTTGGCAGCCCTGGTGTTTCTTCCCACCCAGCTACCCCAGTTACAAGGTGGAGAACCTGAGTGCCACAGAGACAGGTTACACTGCCCGCCTGACCCGCACTGTGCCCACCTTCTTCCCAGAAGACATCATGGTTCTGCGGCTGGATGTGGCGTTTGAGACGGAGGGCAGGCTCCACTTCACGGTCAGTAGGTGCTTTAGCCAGCCGCAATGGGGCTCAGGCTGCAGGAGTCACTAGCTGTGGTGCTGGGTGAGGGGTGTGCGCAGAACAGTGAGTTTCTGGCCAGAGCCCATATGCATTACTTCCCTTGCTGAGCAGTTCTCGGAGCTGGGTTTTCTGCCCTTCGGGGTGACTGGTGGCCTACAAGCCATTGGGTCAACCTCATAGTTTACTATAATGTCACTTGCTCCAGCCTGTAAAGCTCTCTCGGTCTCTCCTTTTCTCGCAGCTCAGGGATCCAGCAAACAAACGCTATGAAGTGCCACTTGAAACCCCAAAAGCGAGAGGCCAAATCGCCTCTAAACTGTACAGCGTGCAGTTCTCAGCTGACCCCTTTGGCCTGATGGTATTCCGGGAATCCAGCGGGCAGGTTCTGTAAGTGCTTCCACCCTCCTGTAACAAAATATTCCCCTCTGACTCACCCCCTTCCGGAGCCTGGGCCCAGCCACCCCCAAAGGTGGGGATGGAGCTACAAGTGGGAAGTGTCATTACTGCCCAGCTGTAATCAGAGTAACTTTCTCATTGCCCCCCCGGGATACCTGGTCCTTGGCTTTGTGTTGTCGCTACCTCACTTGACTTACTCTCCCGCAAGAGACAGACAGGCAGCTGCAGCTGTACCTGCCTCTTATGCCACAGCTGCCCTGGGAAGAGGCGGTTCCACTGGCATCAGGAACTGGCCAGGCCCACAGGGCAGTTATCTGGGTTTTGTGGACCAGGTGCCAGGATGAAGTGATGGAAGCAGAGGCAGCATCTTGCTGTCAGTGAGTTTCCTGTTTTCATCGTACCTGAATCCATCGCTTGTGTTGACTAAGGCACCAGGTGACTCAATGCCTTGCCTGGGGTGAGGCAGTGGTTCTAGGCCTCAGCTGGGGTTTGGGGCCCTGGCTCCCCACTCCCTTGCTGCTCCCCCCTGTTCAATTCACAGCTGGGGAAATGACTGCACTTCCTGTGATCACACCCGATTCCAGCTGGAAGCTTTAGTTTTCTCCTTTCCCGAGTAGCTGCCGTTTCCCTGGCTTAGAGGCTCCTTCCTCTGCCTGGTATCTAGCATGTGGCGGCTTGAAGGTCTGTCTGGGTGGAAGAGCTCAGCTCCCTGTGGGATTTGCTGTCTGCCTTCAGGGAGTCTCCATTTCTCTTTGGCAGGTTGAACACCACAGTTGCTCCCCTCTTCTTTGCTGACCAGTTCCTCCAGATCTCCACCTCCCTGCCCTCCCATTTCATCTCTGGCTTGGGGGAGCACCTGACCTCACTCGCCCTCAACGTCAATTGGACCAAAGTCACCCTTTGGAATCGGGACATGGCGCCCACGGTAAGGGATAACAGTGAAGTCCTGCTTAGTAATGACTCAGCTTCGCATGCAGGGCCAGGCAGGAAGGCCGGAGGCCCATTGTGAGTGTCCCTGCGATGTTAATATGGGCTGTCAGCTCCAGGTGTTTCTCTCGACCCCACTTCCAGGTCTCTTACTCTCAAATGAATGTTACATTTTTTGAGGTTTCTCTCAAGCCTGAGCTCTGTGGGATAGCGCTTGGCGCCCAGCCTGGCAGTGGGATGCTGGTGCTCTTGTTCCCATAGTTAGGGTTTAGGGTCCCTGGATTCAGCTCTCGGACACTCAGGAGTGTCTCTTCTGCAAATGCAGGTGAGCTTGGCCCCATCAGCCTAATGCTTTTCACAGCCTGGTTCCAGTCCCTCGGGAGATCTCTCCCTGGGCAAGCTTACTTCTCTGTGCCACCTACCAGCAACCCAGCTGTGTACAATAGGGAGCCTGGGGACTGTCCCGCGTGTCACACGCTCCCTGATTCTCACCCTGCTGCCAGGGCTAAGAGCGTGTTTTATAGCCAGCAGGGAGAGTTTGGGGCTGTAGGAGAGTGAGCCGCGTCAGCACAGAGCGCTCGCTCGGCTTTCTATAAGTCCCCATTGCTGCCTGCTACTAAAGAGCAGCAAGAATCCGAGGCAGGATGTGTGGCTGGCGCCATGGGAGCTCCCCGCACTGGGGCCCTGACTTTGTCACCATGATGTGAATGCCCAGCAGGTGAGCCCTGAAAATCGGGGATGTGAAGCTACCCAGCTGTGCGCCCAGCCCTGCGCTGGCCGGGAGGATGGGCCGGCTGCTGCATTGCCCGAGTATCACTGACACTATATGCTCTGCTGTACATTAGCCTTACGCCAATCTCTATGGCTCTCACCCGTTCTACCTGGTGATGGAGGATGGCGGCTTGGCCCATGGAGTCTTCCTGCTGAACAGCAACGCCATGGGTACGTGCCTTGCTACCAGCCACTCCTGCTTTTACTGTGAACGGCTTGGGGGAAGCCGGCCGGCTAACAAGCCCTCAGAGGGGTTTGAGGTCAGCGGCTTGGATTCAGGGACTGCATTTCCTCCTGTGTCATTACACCTGCCCACGGCTAGTGCGGA